CAGTCATCAGCAGGCGTACCCAACCCCAAGTATGGATCACTTGAGATTCGAACCCATGACCTTCGGTAATGTAGTTTAACACTCAACCATTGAACCATGGGCCCGTTGTCGGACCACTGGTAGACCGGATAAAGTGCAATTTCGGTCAGACAATTAATTTTGGCGAGACCGTCAAACGACTTTGCACGAGATTGCACGAGCATGAGTTGGCAGCGAGACGGAAATACCACATTTCCTTGGTAGCTGCCTACGCCTCCTCGCCAGGTAACGACTTTGGCTTTGAGAACTCAAGAATCTTGAGTCAATCAGACGATCGAGTTGGGCGTCTGCGGCAGGAAACGCTGCATTCAACTAAGGAATCAATAAATCGACATATCGATCAGCCAGTCGCATATCAAGCACCGCAGCTGGAGGTCATTTCCGTCAGAGGTGAGCTAAATATGCGATGTATTGTACGGTTTTTTCACTCCTTGAAGATAGACTCTCATGAGAGTTCGAAATGTCAGGTAAATCAACAATTGGTCTCAGTGATCGCCTTTGCGTCCTCCTTCATACTAACAGTAGATGTGCTAACTTATGAAATGTCAACCAAAATTTCGAAATGCGTTCTCGTTTCGAAAAGCTAAATTAAGTAGTGTTGTAAAATTAATCATAATGCAGCATAAATCTATAATGATCCAGTTACCTCAGGGTGTCGGCTTTCGAAAGAACTTATTTTCGGCTGCATACAAGATCTATACTCTGCAAAAAAATGACTACTTAAGTAGTCGGCAATTTTCTCACTGATTTTCGATGCCCTTGAAAATTCAATTATATTTCATGGAAAACATGCATAAAAAAATTCACTCTTTTACTTATTCGGTAGAAAATCACGTTTTCTTTCAATTTCATACTCAAAAGAAGAGTATAATTCGATTAAGCCTCTTTTGTCTGCGGGGAGAATGGCAATGGTTTCGCCAGTTTTGAGATTAACATACGATTGTATGTAAAAGTGATTTCGATCATTCAAGGCATGTACGGCACTATTTCTGATCGCAAATCGTTCATCTTCCTTAAGATCTACTGTAGATATGATGGACTGCAAGCTTGCAGGAAGTCCAAGTAATTCGAATCAGAATGATTGTGTTTTATTCCTTTAGAAATTACATTCTCTTCCGTTTCTGTGAGGCGCCTCGAGGATGAATTCACGATCTTTGCTGAAGACTTCTGATTTGCATGAGCTGGTTAAGGAAAGGCCATTTTTTTTATCTAACACCTTTTTCTTCTTCTGGCTTTCAAGTTCTGTTACGTAGGTGATCGTTTCGTTTAGGGCTTCGACTAAGTTCGAGAACAGATTATTACGGCAAAATTCCGCATGTTGCTCTTTAGAAATTTGAAATTTTCGAAGTCGGTAATGGACATCACTTATGAATGCACCAAGCATGCTCTGTCCTAAGCGAAACGCTATTCAATCTCCTAGGGGAGATTTTACGGCAGGCTTTACACGCAAAGATATTGGCAGAGTCTTTTTGTCTCGGTACTTGCGAAGAAATGATAATCTTCCTCGCGTTAGACCTTCACGAATCGCGCATTCAATGCACGGATGAACTCCTAAAACCCTATGACACGGATGTTCCTGCAGCTGCCTTACCTTAACTCATGGACCTTTGTTAAGAAACTTATGTTTGGTTCGATCACCAATATTATCAACAGCTAAAAGGTGCTCCAATGGAATCACCTATATCTGACCTTCTTGCTGAGGTGACAGTGCAGAAATTTGAATCGATAGCTCTTCCATCAGTCAACCCCAAGTTATGGATACGATATGTAGACGGCACATTTGTCGTCGCTAAAAAGGATCAATTAGAAATGCTTCGCAACACAATCAATTCAACCATTCTGAAGTTGACAATAAACTCCCATTTCTAGATGCTCTCGTACACCGTAAGACTGACGGAACATTACGCATGTCCGTTCAACGCAAAGAAACATAAGCGGAAATAATTCCGCACTATGAGAACAACAGCCTAATCTCTCACAAGCCGAGTACTGTCAGCAGTCTGATACATCGAGCAAAAACAAATTTCTCTGATGAAGAAAGCTACCAAGTTGAACCAAAATACCTGTTTGAATTATTTTCCCAGAACGGTTACCCTAGAGATTTTGTACGTCGATGCATGAAACAACAAGAGATAAAAACAAAGGAACTAGATAATTCCAATCAGGTGCCCAAAGAAAACACTTGGCGAATCCTTACTTACTTCAGGAATGCGTCTGAATTTGTTGAAAGACATTTGAGGAAACACCAGATAAAAGTGGCGCACAAGTCGACGACTACTTTACGCACTCAGCTTGTACACCCTAAGGATAGAGTGGACTACCTCGATAAAAAGGAAGTCGTCTATAAGATCCCATGCGATGCCTGGGATGCCGTATATTGTGACCATACGAGAAAATTTGTCTCTAGACGCATCCACGAACATCAACTGGCAGTTCAAAGGCGAGATCGCTTGCCTCAAATGGCCATGTACACTCTTGATACTGGACACACTTTCGCATGGGACGAAACTCGCATCGTCGGAGTTTGCCCATCTAAAATGGCCGAGAGTTTCTTGAAGATATGCACTCCGATGAGTCATGCATCAACAGACATATCGAGTTAGATGACACGTACAAAAATCTCAGGAAAGAGTGGAAGAGACGAAAGCCGATCAATACGGACTGAAGCACACGACGACCGCTTACTGACTGAAGCACCAAATGAGTATTAATGCTTTGCCACGTTGAATTATTAATTGTTTTCTGCGCATTTACTCGAGTCTGACGACGATACGGGGAACCGACGTTGAAAATTTCCTGAATAAAGTTGTATTCTTTTCCTAAAGAACGTATTTGCTTTCAAATTATATTTTTTTGGATGCCTGCGTTCCAAGTCATATATATACCCTCCCAAATGGCGTACACCGATCAACTGGCTTCCTAAAACAAACAAGTCTCGCATGGCGAACCTTCTGTGTCATGTACATGTGATCATGCCATGTTTCCGTTCCCAACTGGCGGTTAGGGTTATGATTGTCTAAAGGAAGGCGACTATGCCCGACACATTTCTTTACCAGTCTTCTTCAAAACTCCATTGTCTCCTCTCTGCTATGCATAATATATTTCTTTTAATCGGGTATGCGAAGAAATTCAGTTGGGAAGAAGTAAAGTCTTCGGGAATAATAATGTTCTATTGCGTAAATTATCGAGATTGGTGCATCAGCTCGTTGTCATACTATGGTGGTTTACAAAACCTATTAATTAATTAGATTGGTCTAAGAAAGGATTCTATGGTTGACCGACGTTTGTGTCAATACGCGTCAGTTGTACCTAGTTATATCTTTATAATTGGCTGAGCTCGTTTGAATTTGCCCCTGAGAATTGTGTGAGATGTATCTAAATCGATATGTCGATTGATGCATGTCTCAGTTGAGTGCATTGTCTCCAGAAATTCACGTCCTTCTCTAATTCCTCAGACGTCAACGATGTAAATGTTCTTCATTGAAACTTTGTGTCCAGTGTCCAGTGTGTGCATAGACACCTGAGATGGATGGTCTCGTCTCCTCGCCACCAACTGTTGTTCGTGGATATGGGTTGAGGCAGACTTCCTAGTTCGGCCACAGTAGACGGTATCACAACTGACACATGCGGTTTTGTAGGCACCACTTTTCTTTTGAGGTAGACAGCCCTGCCCTTAGGGCGTAAAGCTGTGTGCGTCAGGTAGTTACCTGTTAGTGGGCACTTGTATTTAGTGGTGTTTCAATTGTTTTTTTTACCACACTTAAGCATATTTTTCACTTATAAGAGGGTTCTCCAGGTGATTACTTTTTGGTGCCTAGACGACTGAAGCGTTGGAAAAGTCCTCCTTCTGAATATACTGGTGTTTCATGCATCGACGTGACAGTTCGACCATCGGTTTCGATGATGTCCACCGTGTGCCCCACAGTTGCAGTAGCAATGGGAGCAGGGACGGTGACTTACGCAGGGGTTTATAGTGCCGGTAGACTTGCGTAGCATCTACCTACACTCTCTCCTCCCTCGCCCGAGCCCGGTGTCAAGACAGAGTCAAGAAGACCGGAGACGAGGGAGGCCGCAGGTGGATGGCTCGGATGGGTCCTCATCTTGGCGATCCACCACACCCCCTGGTCCACACAACAAATGACCAGGGTTTCAACCAATCACAACAGAGATTTGGAGGCTGGCACGGCCGAAGCCGCACCTGGGCGTGCTGCCAACGCCTGGCTCGGATCCCACACTGTGATGGGAGTGCCATAAAGGCCACATAAAAGCAGCCATTGCAGCCTGACTTTCAGACCGCCTCCAGTCAAGGAGAAGGTCCAAGTTACCCCGTCAGTTGGCAACCTTCCAAGCCACGGCTTTTAGCGCACCGTGATAGCTTCAAGCGCGTCAGATTGTTTATAGTGAGGAGAAAGTGCGCTGAGTCGTCGACCTCACTCTCCCTTCCCACTCCCACACCCCAGCCGCTGTCCGAGCCGGTCAGCAGACGGGAGTGGGGAATGGGCGCGGTGGCTGTCATGGTCGACTGACCATGCCTGCGCGCGCCACGGCACGACCTGGCCCCCCATACACACAACACCAGGATTTCACACAACGGGGGTTGAACGGCGTGTCTTTCACTTGCGTGAGAGTGCCATGGAAGGTGCTGTTTCAACCCGTCCCCAGCCCACCAGTCCGGCACTCCACACAACACGCACACACAACGCGACGAACTGCGTGAACCGAGAGCGGGCGTCAATCAGCAACCTTCCTATCCACGACGCTTGACGTGTCGGGATAGTCTCGGACTCAAGTCACCCGTGCAGCCGAAGCCGCATGGGGACCGAGTCGAAATGCGGACTTCCCACTTGCGTGGGAGGTGGCAGTTAAGTGCATGAGGTGTGTGAGTGCTGATTTCTGGTGGGGTGATGGTGGTGGTGGAGGAGGTAGGGAGTGAGTGAATGTGTGGTGTGACTGGCAGTTGTCTACCGCAGGTCGTCGTGGATGCGCATGTGGCCGAATAGGCCCATGCGATGCCTGAAAGTGCGAGGGCAATGTGGGCAGTTGAGACGAGCTTGGTGGGTATAGGTGGGTGCTCCAGGCACTGGTTCGCCAGCCTCTGTGCGATGGATTCGCAAGTGACCGACCAGGCCGATGTGTGAGGTGAAGGTACGGTCGCAGTGAGGGCAGGTGTAGTCCTGATCCACATCGCTGGAGTCGGGGGAGGTGGTGGTAGTGTTGGTTGTTGTGCGCGGGACAGTCGCCTGAGCGGCCGCCGTTGGAGCAGTGGGCGAGGAGGAGGAGGAGGAGGAGGAGGAGGATGAGGAGAAGGAGGAGGAGGAGGATGATGGAAGTGGTGGGTCAGAAGAATTGTCAGAGGTAGTTGGCGGCGGAGAGGAGGATGAAGAGGCGGGCGGGGGGACGATGGTTGGTGCCGTTCGAGAGGCGCAGTTAATCCGGATATGTCCAACAAGTCCGATTCGAGCCCGGAATGTCCGTTGACATCGAGGACACGTTGGAAGCGGTTGTGCGGCGGCGTTGCGTACTGGGCGAAGTTGTGATTTGCGGGCTTCACGTTTCGCTTTGGCGGCAGCGATGCGGTTGGCTTCGTAGATCGCAGCGCCTGTCTTCACTGTCCTCCTCCAGGTCGGTCGATCGAGTGCGAGCTCGTCCCAGTTGGTGGGGTTGATTTGCAGGCGTTTCAGGGAGGACTTCAGGGTATCCTTGTAACGGCGAATATGGCCTCCTTGACGGCGAGAACCCTTCGCGACGTCTCCGTAGAAGAGTCGTTTGGGTAGCCGTTCGTCGTCCATGCGCACCAGGTGGTCGCTCCAGCGCAGCCACATTTGCCTCAGTATGGCGTAGATGCTGAGGATTCCCGTTCGTTCCAGCACATCAGTGTCGGGGATTCGATCCTGCCATTTTAGCCTCAGGATGCGACGAAGACAACTGAGGTGGAAGTGGTTCAGACGGCGTGCTTGCTTTGCGTACACCGTCCAAGTCTCCTCTCCATACAGTAGTGTCGGCAGGATGACGGCCTTGTACATCTTCAGATTCGTGCTCAGCTGAAGACCGTGGCGATTCCAAACTGTGCTTTGGAGGCGACCGAAGGCTTGACTGACTTTCGAGATCCTGTTGGCGACTTCGTCATCGATCTTGGTGTTGCGGGAGAGAGTACTGCCCAGATACGGGAAGTTCTCCACCACTTGCAGTCGGGTTCCGTTGACGCTGATTTGCGGCGGTGCGTTGGAAGCTGTGACTGAGTGGGGTGGCGGTTGGTGCATCACCACCGTCCTCTGCGTGTTAATGACCAGACCGAAGTTCTCGCAGGCGGCGGAGAACAGGTCCATGCTCCGTTGCATCTCCTCTTCCGAGGTGGTGTTCAGGGCGCAGTCGTCGGCGAAGAGGAGTTCGTGAACGGTGGTTGTGGATACGCGCAATTGGAAGTGCATCCGCCGTTGATTCGTTGAACGCATGCTCAGACCACTCAACGTGGGCCTTGAACACCGGCCGGAGGTCACTATCCGCCGCTTGCTCATGCAGCCTAAGGGGCGGCTACCACGTGAGGACACGTCAGGAATTGTTTACCGCGTCAACTGTCTAGACTGTCCGGTCAACTATTGTGGCATGACCGACAAACGATTAAGGTCGCGCATGCATGAGCATTCTCTAGCTGTAAAGCGAAAAGATGTGCGATCACATGTTGCTATGCATAGCCTGGAAAATAACCATCAATTCGGCTTCGACAAGGCAGAAGTAATCGACCGAGCTGAAAGCAAAATGGCGCGAGAGATAATCGAAGCCTGGCAATCCAACGCCAACTCGATCAACCGTAGGATCGACCTATCGGCGCCATACGAGTCCGTCAGACACCACTTGGACAGGAAAGGAGGGCCAATAGGAAGAGAGAACAATGGACCTATCAGTAATGAGTAAGAAAGACCTATTTAAACCTTGTATTCCCACTTTTAATCTATCTCCGATGATGCGCTCAAGTATGAGTGTGAAACGTCAGATGAATAAATCATCCTCCCCAGAGATCTCTTTACCTTCTTCCATCTCAATACCTGGGGTCGGCATTTTCGCCTATATCCATATATACATTTATATGCAGAAGGTTATTACCGACAAAGACAAGGGAGACTGGAATGGCCATTTCTGGCTTATTAGCCGTCGCCAGCCGGTCATACCCAACCCCGAAGTTTGGAACACCCGAGCATCGAACTCGCGACCTGTTAGTTAGAAGTCCAACGCCTTTAATCACTGTGCCACGAGCCCGTTACCCTGTTGGTTTTTGGATCGGGAATATACGATGGTAGGGGACGCTCAGCGGTCGTTCTTACGGCACTCACTCGTTCCGTTGTGCCTTATGGTCTCTCTCTCGAGCCCAACCAGTAGCCGCACAGCGGCGCATGATATAGGCATAGGGTTATTACCGAAAAAGACAAGGGAGACTGGAATGGTCATTTCTGGTCTATTAGCCGTCGTCAGCCAGCCATATCCAAGCCCGAAGTGTGGAACACCCGAGCATCGAACTCGCGACCTGTTAGTTTAGAAGTCCACGCCTCCATATATGCTTGGCAGATTTTGAATAATTCATATTGACCGAAAATCTGCCAAAATACATACGAATTATGTGAGCCTAGTAGTCATCTGGTGGATTCTAGGTGAATTACTTAGGAAATCCGGTCTGGGCAGTCAACTTACTGTATCAGATTTTGTGGATTCCAGACGTTGCAGTAGGTCGGGCGGGTAACTTGACCCAAATGTGATAAAACTCGCGTCTTCCGGCGGGGCCTCGTAGCTCAAGTGGTTAGAGCGTTGGCTGTACTAGAGCCTCCTCCCTACTGCGTGGGTTCGAATCCCACCGAGACGCCGAGTTTTTCACAGTTGGGTCAATATGAATTATTCAACATCTGCCAAAACATCTATGAATTCAAAATTTAGTTAAATAGATTCGCTACAAGAAACGAATTATCCGAGAATAAAGACGGAAGTTTCATTAGGGCAGAAAGGCAAATCGTAGTGTTGGCTCTTCTTCCAAATTGGTTAAACGCCTCAACGAGAGGTATTTTCAGTAGACAGCGTTACTTGCTTGCCACTAAAACCACTCTATCAAGAGATTCTTTTCTGTTAGAAGGTCCTTTTTGGTGTCCCGGCAAAATTTTGGTGTAAAAATAGACAGAGTGATGAAAATGACTTTTATTTTTAATTATAGTGAAGAAAGCTCGCGTAGCATAGACCTGTGTTCACAGTCAGATTGCAATTCAGTGGTAGGGCTGCATCTAATCGACTTCCGGTGGTAGTGGGCGCGGTGACTGATCCGACAGAAGCCCCGTCTACGCATGCCACGGTATGGGTCTCCTCTTCTGGTTTAGTCCCCCATTCGAATCGGTTACCGGGGTGTGGCACACAGCACAATTTCGTGCGGTGACTGATGAGAGGTGCGCCAGGCAGGGGTCGAAAGGGGCGATGATACTGTCTCGGGGCCCGTGTAGCACTCCTTCGAGGCTTACCAGCTCTGGCTGTGCCATACACTTCGTGACTTACACAGATACAGACGCGCACCGACGTCAGCACTGAACCGCCGGTGCGCATGACTATGAAGTATGTATCCGCACATCAGCGCGGGTGCGTAAACTGTAAACTGCCATGTGCGCCAAATCACGTGATGTGCCACAGCAGCACACCCGGAACCTGTGTACAGCGAGAGGGACGAGGTTGGTACCCCCGATTGTTTTGTCTACAGGACGGGTGAATTCACGTGTGTACACAGAGGAGGGGGACTTAAAATGACTTGGAGAAATTGGCAAAGGGACGCGGTGACTGAAGTTATGATGGCCCTTAGAAGGTATGCCAAGGGCCAGTTTTTATACGTGCGGTGCGTAAGTGCTGGAAGTTCCGTCGACGCAAAATCCTATTTCGTAGCCGTACCTGTTAGGGATTAGGGTTAGGGGTCGAAGTTAGGGGTCAGGGATTAAGGTCAGGGTTTGGGGTTAGGGATCAGGGTTAGGGGTGAAGGTTAGGGTTGATGTCCGGGGTTAGGGGTAGGGGGCCAGGTGTTATGGTTAGGAGTTAGGCAGGAGCTTGTCTACTGCAGATACGGCTACGAAATAAGATCCGACCCAAAGCATCTTTACTAAAGCAGAGTTGTGTATTTTTGTGTGAAACTACCGCACAACCCGATATCTGACTGTCTTTGATTATTTTCAGACTATCTGTAAAAAGCTTCTATGCTCTCACATGTATAAGGTAGTTATTCAGGTAGCTGAATACGCACCACTCTTATATCGTCTGTGTACTCCAGGTGAGGTCGACATTCTCTGCATGCGGACACACCGACGTATTTTTATGCCAGTTTGCCTGCAGGCAATTAGGTTGAAAGACATCTTCAAGAAAATAAGAGACTCAACCGCTGAAACAAAAGTTTTATTCATTTTACTTTTTGAATTTTCTCCTGAGGCAGTTATCATAGGCAGTAGCAGGAAGAGGTAGCAAGCGCACATGTGGAACTGGCATAACATAAAAAGAAGGATTTAATCCAAGATCGCGCATTAATTTCCTCGAAAATTAAACAAGGCAAGTTGAAACTAGAGTTCATATACCAGAAAGCACAGAGGAAAGCTGGGGGACCGACTGATGAACTGAACCCCTCACAACTGCGTCAGGCAGCGGCACAAGATCGGCGAAACACGCGTGTCTGGGTTTTTAGCTAATACCTGTGTTGTTAGTACGGTAACTAATTACACAATTCTGTACTACTGAATGCCTGTTGGCGGTTTATGAATATTACGCGGTCATTCCGCAGTATCTGATGGATTTCAACTCAAATATTCATATTAAATCTTGGACCGTGCCTGAAAAGGTCTGTTGCGAAAGATTTACTCCAAATTCACGCATTAAATTCCTCGAAAATTACACCAGGCAAACAAAAGGGGTCATTTTGACTGAAGAAATCCAGATAATGCCAAGAGCCAAGTTCCTTGAAAAGAGGTATTTTGCAAACTTATCTGCTTTGTTTGATGAATACAGTACCGTACCCTAAGCCTGTGGATATTCTACAAAGTATTAACTGCATATGTTTGCCGTCGGTTACTAGTAGCTAATAAGTTGCATGCAATCGCCATGAAGTATGAAAAACTCTAGTTTACCTTGTAATTTGTAATAGCAACAATTTTCCGTTGTTACTTTTCGAGGCTTTAATGCATTTAATATTCTCTGAAAAGGATTTTAACATTTCCATAACAGCGGCTTTGATGTCAATGAAAAAGGCACTTCCAAGACAAAGAGGACCCCGTTGGTACGTAATATTTCCCATCCACATAAAGTGACAAACCACGAATAAAAAGACAAAACTATCCACACTTAAGTGCCTTGAACATTACATTGTGCAACGTTTCAGCAAATTTATGCCTGCGCGTACTAGTCATGCTGGAAATGTTCATGCCATCTTAATCCCAGTCTCGTTTCTTCCTTCTTAGTCAGCCTTTATGACCCATCACTAGCGATTATTTCTTCCAGTCGAAGCCTTATCGTTGGGTTCTAAATTTTGCTGTTCTCGCCAGAAACCCAACCATCTGGAACTGCAAACGCAGTTTAAAAACCTCCTGAATCAAACACACGCCCTTCCGCCAGTTTCAGCAGCAAACGTGCAACATGTTAAGTCCATGTTAGTCAACTATTCTTATCAGCACCTGAAATGTGGTCAGAAATATCAAGGCTTGCTGACGAAGTCATACATGAGGAAATTAAAGCAACTCCGGCAGAGCAAAGATATTCTGATAACTAGGCCAGGTAAGGGAATTTGCGTTGTTTCGATGTACAAGGGAGACTACACTACGAAAATACAGTTGATTCTGTCGGACCAGGAAAAGTTCAGAAAGACATAAAAGGAAAAGAACGCACAGACGAGATTGAAGCACAACTGCCAAACTGTTAAAAAGACTTCAGACGGATGGTATCATCAGCGAACATGACGTAGAGAGTCTCCGACCTGTCTGCTTGCATATACCTCGGTTGTACGGCTTGCCACAGAACCGCAAACAGGGCACACCGGTTCGTCCGATACCCCGATATGAGGAAATCGCTGTACTACGCAATAGTGAAATGGCCACGGGGAAACTTAAGACTCTGTAGCATTTATTAACGTCACATAGCTATTGAATACCTTCGAAATCGTTAACGGCGCGAAAGACCTTGATCTAAACGAAATAGTTATGTTTTCGTTTGATGTCTTATATCTTTTTACGAAAGTACCCGTCATGAAAACGGTCAACTACCTCTGTGATTTCATCGCTGCCAATCGGCAGTATACAGGAATGCCCGTGAATCCCCTCAAGAAATTGTTATTGAGGTGTTCCTTGAACGTGCAGTTCCTATTCCACAACAATCTGTAGAGAAAAATGGATGGAGTAGCTATGGGCTTGTCCCTTGGCCCACTGTTGGCGACTATATTTATGGGAAAGCTAAGACTTCCCAGCTACGTCTTCAGATCGCAGACTGATTGGAAAAAATTGTAAAAAATGCGCAGCTTTTTCCC